TTGAAAGGATTGATGAAAACTAATAAGTTGGGAAAATAAATGGTGTTTGATTGAGAAGAGTAAAAAAGAGAGTTTTTAGTTATGAGATAAAAAGACACATTCAAAGCAGAGAAACTATAATTTATTATATTATAACTTATCAAATGAATGTTATTAACAGTCTCCTGCAGATCTGATTCATTGCAGACCTTTTCGAAACCATTAAGAGGTTTTTTAAAAAATAAAATAAATGAACTTAGTGGGTTGAATCTAAATCATTCCGATTCAGACCTAAAAATCAAACTTACTTAATGGGTTAAATCTGAATAATCAAGTGCAAAAAAAAATGAGGCCCAAGAAATACTTATGCTTTTACTATTTGCAGGTTCAGCAGTTAGGAGTAAAACAAGCAGATCGAGTTAAATATAAATTGGTTAAAAATGATTTAAAGAAAAATGAATAAAGTACTCGACTTAGCTCATATTTTAAATGAGTAATTATGAGTTACCCATTGGCCCCTACAACTTCTTTTTGAAAAAATGAATGAACATAATTTATCCATTGGCAGAATGATTTGGGAGACCTTTATATTTGGCTCCATTAGTCAATTGGACCCTTATATTTACAATTTTGTCAATTAAGTCCTTAAACTCACTAAACACAATACTTTAAACCTTTTTATTATTCTGTGTGAAAATTTATTCATTCATTTTTTATCGAACAAATTTTCCTAACACTGATTGTGAATAGTAAGACAAACTTCTTACTATCACTTCTAAATGAGTAATATCAGTATTAACATTTTTTACCCATTTTAAAATTGATAAATAAAGATTACTCATTTCGTTACCCCCTACCAGTAGTTAACAAATAGAAAATTTGTGTAGAGAAATTTTAAATCTCACAAATGATCACTAAATTATCTTCTGTTTTTTTTTTTTTAATGAAATCACATAATTTTGTTTTTTCTTGTAACAATAGTGTTCATGGACATATTTTTTGAGTTAATATCTTAAAAAATCACTGAATTATGAGAAATTATATAATAAAGTCATAATTTTTTTTTGTATCAATAAAATCACTCAACTTTAAGTTTTTATCTTCAAAAATCACTCAATTATATTTATTATTAAAATAAATTTGATATAACAAATTAAATCATTGATATACATGTGACACAAGCCGACTTGTCTTCTATACTATTTATTAATTTTACGTTCTAAAATTTGTTATTTGACTATGTCTTTACTCCCAAATCCTAATCAAACATGAAAAATATAACTATTATCAGAATATTAAAAAATAGATTTTATAGTTTATTGATTTGAGGAGCCCATGATTATATGACATTAAAAAAATGATTTATTTATCATGTCAAATATATCTTAAAGATAAATGTAGTTGAGTGATTTTTGAAAATAAAAATCTTAAAGTTGAATGATTTTATTGATACAAAATAATAAAGTTCAGTGACTTTATTAGACAATTTTTCATAATTCATAAACCTTTTAAGATATTAACTCCATATTTTTGCTGGAAAAAAAAAAGATCTTTTTGGCTCCGAACAAAATGGTTATAATATTATCACTATTTGGTATGCTTTGCTCATATATTTTTACTGAAATTGAAAAATAAGGAACCCTTTACTGTTGACATTCCATTGGGTAGCAAGTGAGGTGCCCAATTTAATTTACCCAATTCCCACTTCCCTAGTACTGTTTTTTCTGGTTGACAGTTAAAGGTAATTGGTAAGTTTAATTTAATATGCAGAATAATGAATAATCATTCACCTGCATAGATATTAAAAGTCATTGTCACCTGAAAATTAAAGCTGATCAATTGGTTCTTATGTTAAATGGAAAAAGGCTATACTTATTGTTCGTTTTGATATCTATTTTTTCCATCCAAATTTATATAGAAAATCTTGTTTAAAGAGTACCTTGAGTTATATGAATTAATGTTTTTCTTTTCACTAACAAAATTTTACAATTTTTCTAAAGACAAATTTACATACAAAAAAAACAATCAACACTTTAAAATACATATTATCTTTTAAGCTTCATTTCAAATTTTGTAAATGCTTACACAATATTCTAACTACTGGTATCTAATTAATTATATTGAGCAATACATGTGGAGAACTTTTCACAGACTATTTACTTTACGGTATTACCAACCACTAGATGATGTTTTCCCCATTCTTTGTATAGTCATTATTATAATCTAGCTAGCTACTCCTAACTTATTCAGAAGGAAAGATATCACACTACTAAAAAAAAAGGCCAAAAGAGACCTAGAAAAGAGACCTCACGAGGTTTCTTTTCGAAAAAAGACCTCACGAGGTCTCTTTTCGGAAAAAAAAAACCGAAAAAGAGACCTCACTCAAATTCATATACAAACGCAATCAACTTTGAAAGATATGATTTCAACTTCACTCAAATTATATTGAAAAACTTGCACAATATTCAAGTGCTTTTAAGACTGCAGCTAGCTACTCTATTTATATTGGGCATGTTGTATTGGTGGAGAACTTTTAACTAGCTATGCAAATATATTTTACTTTACGGTATTCCAACCATTGGATAATCTTTTTTCTTGTTCTCTTAGGGGTTTTTTTGCTAATCGTATAAGAGATATCTTATTCATGTATAAAAAGTTACATTAGCTTTATTATGTTTGGTAGAAGTTTTGTGTTAGGTATAAAAGTCAACATAATTTATACCATGTTTGATTGCACTTTTCTAGTCCTACATAATTAATACCAACATAACTTATGAAGAAATCTATGTATAAAGTTATGTAGGGTATAAGGTAGAATAAGTTATGTAGATATTAGTTATAGAGTTTTTGGCCAAAAACATCCTTTAACTATACCCCAAACATAAACTACATCCTCAAAATATCATTTTTAGCAGAAAAAATCCTTTAACTATACACCAAACTTAAACTACATCCTTAATGTATCATTTTTAGCAGAAAACATCTTTTAAGTATTTGTAAGAACAACTTTCATCATTTAGTTAGATATTATCAAAAAATTAAGGGAACTTACGAAGAAATGTGTAGTTAACGTAACTATTAACAAAAGTTATTCTGGAAAATTTCATTACTTTCTACAAGTTCTTTAAAATTAAATATTAGACATTGTTGCTCATGGAAACTAAAAATGATTTGAAGGTGAGTGCACATGATTTGCTTTTTTCGTAACGAAAAGAAGTTGCAGATTAATTATTTTTACCTTTTTCTTAACCAATTAAATGAATAGATTTTTGGGTCAATCTAATATCGAAGTGACCAAAATATTGATTATGTCTTCTATTTGAGTTTCATTCTACATTATTTAAAAGTGAAAATCTCCAACAAACGTCGCTTCTAACATATTCAATTGAGAAGAAACATATTTAAACTAATAATATTTTTAATTAAACTTACATGAAAAATGAATGAAAAAACTGTCAAATTAAAAGAAATTGCATAATTCTTAACTCAATTACGAAAAAGTTCAAGATAATATTCTTGGCATATTTAAGAATAATAATTAGGAAGGAACGACTTAATTTTTATGGGATATATCGATTAGTTTTCTGATAAATTCAAGTTGAAGGATGAAAATTGTTTACGTTAAAATACTTGAAGAATGTTTTCTGCTAAAAATGATACTATAAGGATATAGTTTAAGTTTGGATTATAATTAAAGGATGTTTTCTGCTAAAAATGATATTTTAAAGATATAATTTATGTTTGGGATATAGTTGAAGGATGTTTTTGGCCAAAAACTCATTAGTTATACATGTATTAAAGCGATAAGTTACATATTTACCCTACTAATTTATTTTATTATTTTTAATTGGAAACTTTATTGTTTTCCCATATATAGGTTTCTTGTTTTTATTTCTTTTTTACATTTAAATCATTTTTATTTCTTTTAATTTATTTTATTTTTTTAATTGAAAACTTTATTGTTTCCTATCAACATGTGTTTTTTTTACTTCTTATTATATATAGATTATTTTCAATTCTTTTTATATACTTGTGATTTTGATTGGTTTATGCAAATATAAATATTTTTTTAATATTAGAAATTGATTGTATATTTTTTAACGGTACATATGTTGATCACAATATTAACATTATATATTATTCAATATATTTCATATTTATTTAGCATGTATTATTATTTTGTTAATAATATATATTAATAATTTACGACAAGTTTAATATTCAATAGTTAATAATTCATGCATTGTAATCTCTACGTAACTAAATAATATCTACATAACTAATATCCACATAGCAAATATTCGCATAATTAAACCCAATATAACTAAGCCCTGCATAACTAATACCTGCATAACTAGACTCTGCATAGATAATACCTGCATAATTAATATTTGCATAACTAAATCATGTATAACTAAACCTGCATAACTCTAACCATTAACCAAACAGCAATGCTCGAAATGGTGCTAATTCAATTTTCTCAAAAAGTAAATAAAAAATAATGTGGGAAATTTTAAATTTTTATTTATTTGTGTCATTCATGTTCATATTGTATAAGAAATAACTTATGTTGCCATGTCAATTTGATTTTAAAGATAAATGTACTTGAGTGAAGTTTAACGACTTTATTGGTAAAATTCTCATAGTTCAATGACCTTATGAGATATTAGTTTTATCCAAAAGTATGTAATTTTAATATGCTATGTGGTTTTAATATGGTTAAAAGACCCAACAAGAAAATAACAAAAAGCTTCATTTCATATACCAGATACCTTTTCAAGAAGCACCATATTTTAGGCAACCAGGATTACATTCTCATGTTGGCTCACTAATAAATCATCAAAAGTTCAAATTATGCCAAATCATGATTATAACTTCTAAACTCTTGGTGCATGGAGAAAATGAATGAAAAGGTTGGGTATATTTTATTAGAAAAATAAATCCTTGATTGGTTACATGTACATTGACATTTCAAAAAAGTAAATATTGCAATAAATATTGGAAGATGAAGCAAGTGACATTAAATAAATATAATTAAGTATTAAAAGAAGTTATACAAAGTTCAAGAAATACAAAATACACACTATTAAATCCATGAAAATTCAAAATACACGTTTCACGAATTATAAGGAGAAACCTAAACATCCAAATTATTCATATACTAATTACATACGGTTAAATGTGTTTTATTAAGAGAAAAGGCATAATTTTCTTCTAAATTTGCTATGAAAAGTCAGTTATATGCTTATACTATTGTGATGATCTATTACACATCTAAATTATTTAAAAGTGAATTTATTTCAAGCCCGATGCACATACAACCAAACGCAAAATGAGAAAGTGCTTCTCGGGATCCTTGGCAGCCTTTTTCGCTTCTTTAGTCTTGACAACTTCCTTCTTCACTCCGTGCATGTTATCAGCTTTGGCTTCGGATTTACCTATCATCATGAATCCTCCAGTGTTGAGAAAATGAACAAGAGGGAGAAGAACAAAGAGATATTCCTATTGCATTGTGGGGTGGTGAAGTGAGTGTGGCCTGAAAAGAAAGGGATAAGAAGGCCTTCCGGGAAGGACTCAAAGGAAATCTCATACTTATAGTCACGATGATATACGAGTCTGTAACTACGCTTGTGCAGAACTAGCAGACTTGATACAACTACAAGAGCAATTAGGAGTTAACCCAATTTGTCGGGGTATGGTTATTTAGTATGCATCATTGTGTCTCATCGATCTTGTGCATCCCTAGCTATACTGAAAACAATTAAATATACTAAATGTATAAAGGGCTCGATGCAAAAAGCATGGATATCCCCAATTTTCTGGAGCCACGGGATGGGTGAACGTTTTCTTCCTCAGAGTCTGATAATACTATTAGCTGCATAAAGACTCTCTTCGCTTCTTTAGTCTCTGGAGTTATCTTCATCAGGCCAAGCATGTTATCATCTTTGGCATGGGATTTACCTCCTTTCATGATGAACCAGAGTGAGACAAAAAAACAGATGAGATCAGTGCAGGCTGAAATCGAAGGGTTAAGAAGACTATGCAGGGGAGGAACTCAAAGGGAATCTCATACTTAATAGTCAGGACTCACGATGATATAAGAGTCTTTAACTAGGCTAAAAGAGTGACTTATGTTTCCGAAATAGCAAACTTGATACAAGAAACAACAGTAGTTAGGACTTAACCCCAAGTAGTCATGAGTATGATCTATATGCAACCGATTGTTTTCATTGTGTCTACCATAGATTCTAGTTCATGCTCAGATTAACTGAAAACAATTTAAACATACCAAATTTATAAAGAGGTGAACCTTACCTCGACGTGAATAACATGGATTTCCCCCATCTTTGGAGCCACGGGATGGATCCACCCTCTCTTCTTCAGAATCTAATAGAATTACTGGCTCCATTTTTACTTCATTCACTTTGTTAGTCTCAGGAGCTTTGGCATCAGATTTCGCTACTTTCATGATGAAACCAGACAGAGACAAACAAAGAGGTAAGCCCTAGCTGAGTTACTACAAAGGGCTTCAGGGAGAGAATCAAAGGTAATCTCATACATACACTCTGTAACTAGGTTCAGAAATGGCAAAATTCAACAAAACTAGAACTTAACCCTAATCAGTCTCTGCATCGTTTGTTCACATAGTAAACAAAAAACAACAAAATATACCAAACGTATAAACTAGAAAGAGATCAAGGTTATGTAAATTTGAATAGCATGAATTTCCCCCTTCTTTAGAGTCACCCCCTTTTTCCTGATAACTGCACTGCCTCCATTTTAACTAACTTCAATTTTCATAAAGCTTCATTGTTCTCTTCAACATTTTCTACCTCATCCTCAGAACTGCTAAGCTCCTCAAAATGTGTAATTTTGGTAAGACTTCTCTTTGAGTATAGCAGGACTTGGAAGGTGGACTTGTTGATGAGAAAAAAGATCAACGTGTCTCCTACCTCCAACTTGTGATGCAACACAAACTGTGGCCAGTCTCCTTCACATACGAAATAATCAGATGCCACCTTCACTATCTTGGCTTCCCCAATATAGTCCTTCATCCGTTTTCGGTAAGGCTGTCTTGGCCAACATCTTCTTGTGTTCTTTGACAAAAGCAGCCGGCATTCGCTAACAAGATTAGGAAAACTCAGTTACAAAGAAAACAGAGCAAGAATATAGTGTAGATGGGAACTCTTAAAAGAAAAAAACTTACTATTTTATCGATAAAGCCTTGTTCAAGAAGATCGGAGAAAGATGGAAGCTTGTTGTTGGGAACCACTGCCATTGTAATGAAACTAAGAAACAGGAAATAAGAGAAGAGGAGAAAAAAATGCTTAATATGTTGGCTCACTATTGTCAGTTTGTTACTGCACCATTTCACGTTACACACTCACTCAGACACAGTGTGTGAGGCCATCTTTCAGTTTGTTACTACTGCCCAGCTGTCTGTCCTCTGTTACTTTCTTCCACAATTTTGTTTTCTTTTTCTGACAAGTGTCATTCCTCACTCTTTCTTGTATTTAAATTTTGATATCCGAAAAATGTCTCGTAAATTAGGACGGATAAAAGAGTATTTTGTAGGGAAGTTTTCATAAATGATTATTGTTTGGGTCTAATTAACTACTCGTAACTAGGGCTGTTTAAAACGGGACCAAATTGATAGCAGGGACTCACTCCTCACACAACCATTGTGTATGTAATGTGAAATGCTGCATTAACAACAGCAACAACTTCACCAACACCAGTTTTCCTCTCTTTTTTCTCTTCTTCTTGCTGTCATTTCAATTTTGCAAAATGGAGAAATCCGACAACAAGCATCCATCTTTCTCCAATCTACTTGAACAAGGCTTTTATCGATAAAATCGTAAGTTTTTTTTCCTTAAAATTCTATTTATTTCTTTCTGAAATGTGAGTTTTCCTAAACTTGATGATCCGCACTTGTTAGCGACTGCCGGCTGCTTTTGTCAAAGAACACAAGAAGATGTTGGCCAAAAAATGGATGACGGGATGTCTTGGGAAGCTAAGATAGTGAGGGAGGCGTCTGATTATTTTATATGTGAAGGAGACTAGCGATGGTTTGTGGTGTATAACAAGTTGGAGTTCGGGGACATGTTGATCTTCTATCTTGTTGAGAAATCAACCTTTCATGTCCTGCATTACTCCAAGAAACCTCGTACCAACATTCGACATTTTGAAGAACTCAGCTCCGAGGATGAGGTAGAAAATGTTGAAGAGAAAGAGGATGAGGAAGAAAACGTTGAAGCTTCAAGAAAATCTAAGAAAGTGAAAACAGAGCCAAAAGAATCGTCAGGTAAGTGTAGCATCCATTTCTTTATGCACTTCGGTTCGTATTTTGTGTACAAGCTATGAAGGAAATTAAATTAGTTGATAAATACTTTCTTGAAAGTTCATGGTACACCGTCCACCGAGTCGGATGATGATTCTACAGATATCCTAGATGGTACTCCAACAAGCAACAGATCAGGGAAAACAAAAATTTCAGACATGGTTGTGCATTCTGTTGAAAACCTAGGCCATTGTCCATTAGGACAGTCCAGCAAAATGTAAAGACAAGGAGATACAGAGGATGATGTTTCACTTGACATTCATATCAAAAGAATGGAGAGTGAGAAGAAGCTAGAGGGTGTTGCTTCACCTCCTTTCACAATTGTGGACCAATTAAGTAAGTATTTTGATCTTCTCTGATTTGCTATCTATGAACACAAACTTCATATCAGTCATCTAGCTTGTTAGATGTATGTTTTCCGTGTGAAGCAATCGACAATGAAGGCTGCAAGATGCAGAGTCAACAATCCAGTGTAATTTATGATGTGCGCAAGACAGTAATGGATAAAGAGAAGGCTATAGCATATCAAAGAGCAAAAGCTACTTTCAAGTCAAAAAATCCATTCTTTATATCTTTTATGCATCCTTCGTATATCTCCAGATCGAGCAATCATCTGGTAAGCTCTAGAAATTAACCGTCACTTTATATAAGTTTACAGTACTGTAATCTTTACTAGATTTAGAACACGTTGCATTGAGTTCATCTCTTTTGGCAGTGCATAATGTTGAGATTTGCTAGGACATATATCCCAGAAAACTGCAGCAACATAATGCTTCGTGTTGCAGGCAGGGGATCTTGGCCTGTCACATACTCTACGGGAAAAGCACAAGCTAAAATTAGCATTGGCTGGGAAGCGTTCGTGCTTGACAATAAGTTAAAAGTAGGTGATGTTTGTGTTTTTGAAGTTATTAAAGGCACTCAGATCTTCATGAATGTCACTATATTTCGCGCAGCAGGGAGCATGCCAATGCAGGAAACTGATGGGCAGTTTGTAGTTAGTTTTCATTAGGATATATGTAGTTTGGAATGAAGTTAGAATTACGTAGCAAATCTTGAAGGAAGGTTGCTAAATTTAGCTCGATGTGAAATTAAAACGAGCTATTATGTTCTATGTTTCAGCCTTGCCTTTCTGACAAAGTTTCATTTATTTTTCCTTTTTATAATGCCTATTGTTGGTTTTGAATCCTACATTCACCTTAAACCTGAATGGAAGGTTATTTATAACAATTTTCAAAAAGATTCAAAGGAACTAAAGGGCTTAGCCAACACCATATACACGATATACCTTTATATTAACTCGATTCACTTAAGTAACGTAACCTATGTTGCTTAGACTTTTCAAAAATGTTAATGGGCGAGTGTTAGGATCCTTCCAAAGTAGTGCATTTTCAGAGGATCCAACACAACGCAACAACATTTTTGGAGTGTTCGAGCAACATCGAGTGTGACAGATCCATTAAAAAGAAGGTTCCGTGGGATTCTGGCAAGAAAGAAATGGAACTAGCAGTTAAAATTTTGTTATGAAAAAATAAAGGCCTCAGAATATGAAATTACGTAAATTACTCAACAAAAAACAGTCATACTTGAACAGCTTATACAGCATCAAAAGACAATCAAGCTATAAGCAGAAATGATCAAAAGATGATACAACTAGGAAAACCTTGTAGAATGGTAAACTCAAAGATGCTCAAATTGTCAAATTCCTACTCAACGAGTACTACTGTGGAGATATGATTGCAGCTGCTCCATATCAAGATTGAAGCAAATAAACCATTAATTTGGACCTAGAATGTCAGCAAGTAATAGAATGTAGGCAGAATGCACGGACAAAAAAGATCTAGAAAGAGAGTATCACATCATGTAGGTCTCAAACAAGACTTGTTCATCACAAAACTTATGCAGCAAAAATGATTTACTCAGAGAAAGATAGCAGTTGGATTTCCTGGTGAGGGAGGATTCTGCTTCACAACTGCAGCATGAGGCCCTGCTCTCTCTAGAGCATCATCTGTCATAGATAAGATCTCCAATGTCTCAAGACCAAGCTGTCTCTTGATCAACTCCGAGTTCTTCTCAAGGACTTCAATCTCACCAAACGGAAGCTTCAAGTCCAATGCTTGAACCCCAACAGCCACTACTTCGTCTTTCTTGAACCTCAAGAATGGCATACACAGCTTTTGTATTTGTTTGAAGTTGCCTTGTTGCCCGATCTCACTCTTCTGCAATTCGGAGAGGATTTCTTTGTCAGGTGCAAAGGAGCCAGTTGAAGTGTCGAATTTCCTCTGCAGGATTCCCAAACATTCCTTTTTCCATCCACTATACTGCTCATCCACATATACCAGGCCCACAGAAGGTTTGTTTTGGCTAGTCAAATTGGCATTTCCTTTCTTTGAACCAGAAACTTGCTTCTGAAGCAGCTTCCTCATCGAGACAATCGTGTCTTGCAAATATTTGTTGGCCTTCTTAAGGCTAAGATCTGGCAAATCAGCCTCTGGCCAGCCAGCTTTGATGCCATAACCATCCTTCTTCAAAAGCTTTCTCCAGGCATACTCAGCATAGTGTGGACAGATAGGAGCAATAAGTCGTGTTTGAACATCCATAAATCGCCATAGCAAATCCCGGTTCATGCCTCCTGAACCACAGGAGAGCCTATACTCATCTCTGGCAGCCTGAAGATCATAAAAACCAGTTTTCAGAGCATCCCGGAACATGTACTCACTATAGTTCTTCTCTGTAGTCCTTACTGCAATATTTATTTCATTAGCAAATACGCGGTCAGCATATGTGGATGGAGGCCCAGTTCTTAAAGATGTCTCTGCATCAAGGACTTCCTGCATCCATGCTATTTCTTTTGTAAGACGTAAGATAGCAGCATTAGCTGTTTCAAAGACAAAATTAGCATCGTCCATCCCATCACCCGCATCAGCAAGAGAAAAGCGTGTGGCATCAGCTGAAAACTCTTCAATTGCCTGCCGGAGTGTTCGGAAATTCCCAGTGGACTTAGACATCTTCTCAGAGTTAAGCATTATATGCCCATTGCATCTGAAACCACGTGGCCAGTGGTGCTTAGGGAAGAGGGCAGTGTGGTTATAGATGCAAAAGGTAAGATGATTCTGAATAAGATCCTTGCCAGAAACTCTAAGATCGAATGGATACCAGTAGAGAAATTCCTGCTTCATCTCCTTTAGAAGAGAAGAAGATATATAAGAATTTTCAGGAAAAGGCCCATCACAGAACAAGAATTCCCAGACCTCATCTGTCAAGTGCTCTGGTTTCACTGAAGAACGATCATTACCATACATGTCCCCTTTCTGCAAGAAGTGTGCCACTGTGTAATATGCCATATAAATAGTGGAATCGGACAAGGACTCAACTAAGAATTCCTCATCCCAAGGAATACGAGTTCCAAGCCCAAAACTGCGAGAACAAGCCCACTGATTAAGCCAGCTGAGAGTGTGCTCAAAGCCATGTCGTGTCTCATCAGAGTAGAGATTCATATTGGCCAGACACTCCTCTGCAGCCTTCCTCCATTCTGATTCTCCATAAGTGATATACCATTGATCAGTCAAAGCCACAACACACTCATCCCCGGATCGCGACATGACTTTTTTCTCAGGTTCACTATATACTACAGCTTGATTTGACTCCAAAAGGTTGCTCCTGATCAGACCTTTTGCTTCTTGGACTTTCATACCAGCGAATTCTCCAACAATCATGATTCCCTCATAAAACCCGCCCTTGTAAATTGTTTTCTTTGCCTCATCAAGCTTATCTCTCTCATTTTGACTCTTGATTTTTTTTTCAATGCAAATCCTCTCAGCTGACCTGTCTCCAAAATCTGGATGGTTAATGATCGGAACTATCTCAAACGGCATGACCCACTCATCCTTTACACCAAATTTGGCCCTGAAAGCTGGCTTTGACTTCAAATCATGGAGGGCCATATAATCATCTGGGGAATCACTGGGAACACTAGTTACAATTCCAGTGCCCTTATCAGTAAGAACAGATAACATGGGCAGAGTGTATATTATTTCATTAAATGCCAAGGGAGACCTCAAAGGCAAACCTATAAGATCTTGACCAGATAATTCAACCAAACAAGTAGGCTTCTCAGGGATATGAGACAACCTTTGGTAGGCTAGATTAAGAGCTGCCCTATAAGTCATGACAAAAACCTCAGTATCATTAATCTCAAACGCCCCGTATTTTCCTTCAGGCAAAACCCAAGCATTTGTTTGCCCATACATGGTCTCGGGTCTCAGGGTAGCTGCTGCGAGAAATACCTTTTTCCCCTCCAGAGCACTCATCTTTGGTGGAAAGGGTGAGACAACTTCCATCTTAATAAGGGTATACTCCTGAGGTATAACTCCTTCACCGGAAGCACGGTCATGGTCAGCACATGGCTGACCATCTAGGGGTGAATATACGGTGTACCTGAGATCTTTAACAATCCTTCCCGAGGCTTTCAGCTTCCGCATTTGCCACCGCACAAACGAATCAAAGTATGGATTAATGTCAGTTGTAATAAAAACCCTACGCCAATCACAGCCCAATCCAAACTCCTTCAGATCCTCTACGGCCAGTGGTGGAAAGTATGTTAGCCAGTAATATGGGTCTGTAAACTTGGCAATCTCCTCATCCGACAGACCATAACTCCTCATTATCTCCCACTGGTACTTATCACCACCCGTCTTTGCAACTGCCTTTGATTTTTTTCCTTTGAATTTTCCACCCGGTGCAGGCTGATTTCCTTCAGTCTCAACCTTCGCTTCTGTTTCAACATTCTCCTCTTCCCTAGCCGGAAAAACAGGTGGGTTCCCAAACATTGATATCTCCCTTGTAAGCTTATCCGAAGATGCCTTTATGGGCATCCCAGTGCAGTGAAAGGCAAAAGGCAAAAGAACAGTAGCACCTTTCAATCTATGATATGCTGCTGCAAATTCTAGTTTTGACACTGAAAAAGCATGACCCAAATGTAGATATCCATTCATGTAAGGAAAAGGGAAATTCCCAAAGAACTTTTCCCCCACTTTAGGAGGTGATTCTTTAGGTTCAGCTTTAAAAACATCACCTTCAGTCCACCAGTTATGAACCTGTTTCTCTATCTCCAACAATTGGTTCCTTCGGGCAAAACTTCTGCCACTTTCTTCTGCCATCACTTCGCTATCAGCAACCCCACAGAATCTACACAAAACAGGTAGAAGAAAAAAACATCTTCATAACTATTATCTTCACAGATCCATCAAGAACCATGTTTAAGTAACTCATCAATAACCCCACAACCAAAGACTGACACTTTATGCTTTATTTTCAACATCTGAATGATGGGTATTTTGCAAAAACGAAAGAAAACAACAGATCGAACTGATTCAAGATAATTAGCATAGTTACTAATACATACAATTCAAAAAAAATGAGACACACATATAGAAAAAGTGACAAATTAAGAAAAGGAGTTACCTTGATTTGCTTAAATTGGATGTCAATACAACATATGGAGAAAGTTGCTTAGGCTGAAGTGAATATCTTCTCAGTATTTGAGACGCCACAATGAAGAATGAAAATCAAAGTTGGAAGGGTAACGCTTACTAGGTTTTAGCTTTCTTTTGTCTTTACTGTTCAGCTTACCATTGAACTACAATGGTCCCTGAAAAACTAGGATTAGGCAATTTCACCCCACTAGATTTTGTTATCTCATTTTTGTATATCTCAACAATTTTGCTACTATTAACCCAAGTCATTATATTAATTTTTGCAAAAAAGGGATTTGAATGGTCTTAGGTTCTGAAGATTCTTTCCATTCAGTTTTTTTTAATCAAATAATTTCAAATTGAGTTATTTCAACTACAATTAATGATCTTTTAAATTGGTCAAGATTCTCTAATTTACAATCGCTTCTCTATGGTATCTTGTCGATTCATTTCTCAGAACCAGAATAGCTTACGAGTTACGATATGTTTGAAAAATTCGCAATCAATTAATTTTATATCGAAAGCCAATAAGGAATTCCAGTAGTAATCGATTGTTTGGTCCTTTGGAATAACTCACTAAAGTTAGTAAAATCGTGTTAGGATGCCCTAATAAACTATAAATCGAACCGATCCAATCATTTTAGTGATCCTTCCTCTTTACTAGGTTTCTTTTTTGAGTTTTTCATTTTCTAATGAATTGAATCCACCCTGATTTGATCAATAATGAGATTCTTGGTTAGAGACGGATGTGACATGAACACCTAGCGCGCATCTCGATCATCTCGTCCTCTTGAAGTAGTAGAAATATTTTGGGTTCTTTCTTTAAAAATGAAACAATTAAGAAAAAATTACTTAAATGAGTGTCTTTTAATAAATAAATACTTATTTTAAGAAAACTTTTTATTTAGTATTATTTATAGCAATACATAACAATATATTTTAAATCTGTAGTATGTATTAAAAGTGAATTAAGTATGCAATATATATGTATTATAATTGTTTTAAAAATATATTATGTTTGTTTGGTAAGAAGTTGACACATTATATTATAAGGGGGTTTTGATTGGGAACTAGTTATCCAAGGATTGCTTATCTCGGGGTTAGTCATCCTGGGATAACTTATCTCACCCTATATATGGGATAACTTATCATATAACTATGGTAAAAATGG